ACTCTTTGATCATGCCCACAACCTCGCTGTCGTTTTCATTGTAGCTCAAGCTGTCCTCGTCTGCTGTCCCCTGACCGTCCTCTGCGCCCTCCTTCTTGCCCACGGTGACTATCTCCTGGCCATCCGTGATAGCCTCGGTGATCTGACTGAATATCTCCGGCTTGATGTGCACCCAATTGGCGTCGGACGACTTCGTCACCGTGATGAAATCGGGGCCATAGAAGACAGCAGTCACCCCATCGATGTTCATCAGCTGCGCGGCAAGCGGCGAGGGGTACGGCGGGGCGATCGTGCTCCGCGGGTTGAGGTATTCGATGAAAGGCGTGGAGACGTCCGGAGGTAGCACCCTGTGGTTCGGTAGGAACTTCAACGCATCGGCGTTTGGCGTGTTCTCAATCTGGATAAAAATGCTACGGGCGCCCTGAGGCGCGACCGTCCGTGTCCTCGGGGTCGCTCGCAACGTCGGTCTAGGCAGCGCGGATACGCCCAGAGACTGTGAGCTCGTATGCGCCTGTCGCGCTGCCCCGTAGATCCGCCCGCAAATGGCGGGCTGCGCTCTTCTCGTCGTCGCAGACAGCAGCGACGCTGCCGGTCGATAGAGTCGACTTGAAGACATAGTCTTCTGTGTATATCGTCCGCCGTATCAATGAGGTGAGGAAACGAAATAGAAACTCTTATCGACACTGGAGATGTGAGATAGTCGTTTGTAGAATCATAGGTGTAAAATATGAGGAGTTGGTTGAATCATCGCCCGAAATGCCGATTCGTGCCGATAAACAACCAACCAACAAATTTGGCGGCTTATCAATCAGTGGCGATGACGCAAATGCCTCAGCTATCAACTAAAATGCACCTAAGGTACGTAACGATGACAAGGAACATGGTAGTTGAGAGAAGAATTTTAATTGGCCAAGTCTTAAGCCGTTGTCCATAGGTAAAGAACCCCTACCCATACTCAAGCCACAATTTTGTCTGTACTGAACTTTTCAGCCTCTAGTTCGTAGCCAGTCGCAACAGCCTGTTTCATTAGCAAGACCCAAGAGTATTAGGGACCTGCTCACCAATCGCTAATCGACGTAGGGTTCTGGCTGTGATCAAGACCCGAACTGAATCATCCTGCCAATGATCAATTATCGTCACATTTCTACGACAACATTGGCTTCCAACCCCTAGTCCGACTTCTACTTTAAGGATTAATAGACCCTTCGCAAGAATCTCATACTGCAAGACTTTCGGCATATTTTACTTTACGAACCTTCTCAGAAGAAGTCAGGTTTCTGGTTCCACTTCATCATCCGTCCTCAAGGCGACCCTTCAGCACCCTTTCGATAAATTGATCTAATTAATCTATCCACACGGGGTTCATCAACACCATGGCGGCTACTAGACCGCCATGCATTGTGTGCAACACAGCTGAGGGCAAATACAAGTGTCCCCGCTGCTATTTGTACTCGTAAGTGCAAGCTTCTCTCGATATTTGACACATCTTTCTCACTTATATTGCATAGATGCTCGCTTTCATGCTCGAAGGAGCATCGCAACAGTCACCCAACTCCATCTGTGAAGTCAGAGTCGGAGTCTGCTGTGGATATCTCGGCGCTCCCAGTTGGTGACGTCCCTGCGGCACCAGTCAGTGACGTCTCCTCTACTCAAGAGAGACCGGATGTTTCCAAGCGGTCAGGAATCGCCGACATGCCGGAATACAAAGCTCTCCTTCGCAAGTATCCCAACCTCGAGCGCCTGCTTTGGGACATCGCCGTCGCTACGGATCCCCCGTCCGACAACGGGAGTGCCCATGGGAAGCACGGCGCAATGCCTGGGTCCGTGAAAGGTGGTCGTAAGCCAAACCAGCCCTGGACTAAGGATATGGGTTACGAGAACGGCGTGGAAGCGCTCCGGCGGACGAGAGAAGCTCCTGGTGACGATAGGGACGCACTCAAGGAGTATTGCGAGCTCGTTCGACAATATTCGGCTAAAAGAGAATATGTCGCCGCGACCAAGGTCCGGCGTGAAGTCGCTCAAGACGACGCTAGAGCCATAAGCAATCTCTTGCGCGCTGAAGAAACCAAAAATTTCGATATGTCGTAGAATGACCATATGCGCGCTTGGCTTCGGGAAGTTGATTTCGAGAATGCGGCATCATATAACGACGACTTTCTTTCTTGACTGCCCATACGAATGTTGCTCACGAAACCTCTAGTAAGGTCTTCCTCTCGCTCGTGGTTGGAAATATCTAACTTCAAGCCAGTTACCTCATTGGAGGCATCCGTATGTCTTACGCTCGATAACCAACCCAACGCGAATCGCAAAGGATACAGCCGTATTGTCTCACTACAGAATCGCCTCGATCGATTCACCTCGGCATGATGAACGAGCGAATTTCCTTTGCAGTATCTCTCGGTGCTGCACTTTCTAGGCCGATCCTGTCCACGCTAGCTTCACGATATCACCAGAACAACACACAGCCGAGCAGGCCTCTTTCAGTGTGAGCCGTGCTAGCCACTCGCTGTCTCAAGCTTGCTAGTAAGTATGAAAGTCTCGGTGTTCGACTTTGAGAAACCAGTCAACAACAATCCGCAGACCAGATCAGACTAAGATGATGTTGGGATGAATCATGGTCTTTCTAGTATAGACATACCACAATATTCTTCTCTATTGTCAAATCAAAGTCTTTCCCCCAAAGAGTTTGATGGGCCCAGATTCTGATTTACGCAGTTTTTCGTCTAATGATGGTAAAGCGATAGTGTATAACCTCAGATAATCTGGAAGACCTACAGAGCTAAACTATCCTACGAGTTAATGTAGTCGAGCAAAGAATATTCCTGCGAAGGCGCCTATCATTCAGTGAGATGTTCATGAGCCAGGAAGTGTTGGCGAATACCTAGGAGAAGAAACACCAGCAGGTAAATTGTGATGCTACCTAGAAAACCCATGCATTCTAGAAGCAGCCCACGGAATCGGGGTACACCAACCTCGTGATGGCGAAAATATGCAGCCATGCACTGCTACGCTTTCGGGAATATGAAATCCAGTTCTCGATACCGCCCAGCTTAGCCATTCAAGTCCAGGCGATGCAGGTGATGCGCAGCTTTCCCCTTACGAGAAGGTCCCAAGTTCGCGGCACCTAATATTAGATATCGCATCCTTTGGAGTTATCTAATGGTAGGGCGCCCTAGGGTTGCATCGATGCGCCGCGCTGGTACGTTGTACCAATCTATGTCGGTTTGAAACAGGGAACGATCTTCCTCGATAGCTTTCTACTTAACGGCAATTCCAGAAGCTAAAATTTTCCAAGGCATAATGCTAGCTAGACCTTTGTAGAAGAAAAACATCCAGTCCAGGCAAGGCTAGATGGAGATCATAGTAGAGTAGAGTGATAACTGTGGAAGCGACTTGTAATATTTCCCCGAATCTTTCGCTCCGAATCGATCCTTTCTGGGGGCTCTCGTACAGTTCTGCGGAACTCCTCGGTTTCTCAGGGGGGCGATACGCTTACTGGGGACATTTTGCCAACGGCTTGCCCAGACATGTGTTTCACACGGCCTAGACGATGTCTTGTGAGACAGCACACATAAAGTTGGATGACACCTCTTCGATATGGATGAAGATAATGTACATTCCGAGACTAGCTCTAGGCTCTACAAGGCCATCTCCAAGTGCCGTAGGTGCTTCTAGGGCATCTACTGTAGCACCTCCTCTCTGCTACTTCAGGGGTCCCTTGGACTAGCTGAGTGCCTGGCTATCTACCTTTTGGGTAAGCTCTTCGGGCCCTAGTAGCTCTGGCGTTTCTCGCACTTCCCTGGTTTGGGTATGGCGCCTAGTTACAGATAGGTGGGAAGCAAGGATAGAACAACCAAATATATATATATATTTATCCCCATTCCAAGGTTCTGCTTTGGGGTTTGCAAGAACATCAAATCGTGTCTAATGTCGCTGCTGATGGTGCCAACACTCATGGGTATGCTCTAGATTTCTCATATGCGGCCTTCCAGGTACCGTTAAGGTCGCCTAGACAGGATAGGTGCAGTCCACAGCCATTCGGAAGGTGCGATTTAATCTAGGAACGGACCTCGGTGTATCTAGGTTGAGCAGCAGCGGTCTACTGCAGAGAGGTTCCCTACCGTTGACCGAGAATGGTGATCGGTCCGCGGCGCAGTCCTACGAAGGAAACGGGATGGCCATGAACTCTAGTGACGAAGGCGGATTTCACCTCTGGACTCGTCCCTTTAGGTGCCCATCCTTTTAATTAGGTACATATGGAATGTAGTTTGAGACTGTCAGGAGTTTCCATCAGATATATGGCTAAGTGGGGAGATTTGTACGAACATACGACGATTCCTCTTCTGGTTCTACCAACCCATTTTTTCCGGACTACCAAAGTCATGTGGCCTACATGGTTGTGCCGGTTTCTTATATACCATTTCTTTTCTTGCTATACACTTGGTATACATGGGTATGGGTATGGGGACCATATCACACGCCCGGCAGGCTCAGTATCACAGGTAGGTGCAGAAAATTTAACACACACTTTCCTAGTCCATATCTCCGGAAATGGGCGGGATCATCGGGCGGCGAGACAATAGGCATGTCGCTTAAGTGTTAAATTGAATATAGCTTTGTTGAACTCCTGACCTGGAAACCACGAGAATATCGAGGTGACTCGACGACAGGGAGGCCGAATGCACCAGGGAAGCCATTACTATCCAGAGTCCGCACAGCATCGAGCTAGAGGGCAGTCACTTGGAAGATAGATAAAGTAGATAGGACATCAAAACCAAGTTGAAAGAACTCTGACCGATGGTACAATAGTGACTCGACGTGCTATTCAAGCGTAGGTATGTAGCCTAGAGGTTGTAGGAATCGTCTGTTAGTAAGGGGGGTTATCGGCGTGAATCGCAGACGGGAATTTCAACTTCACCGAATACATTCTGATCTTAGATTCGATATAGCGAAGATTAAAGAGAGCAAGAATCATCCGCAGTGGAGATAGCAACAAAAAGAGTCTTATGGGGCAATGGTAGCCCGCCTAACTCGTACTTCTTTCTATCTTGAGTACAGGCAACGCTGGTTCGAATCCAGCTGAGACGCCCGTTCTTCTTCTTTTTGGCGTTACTTTCCCCCTATCTACGAAACACATATGTGCTCTCGCTACCATAGTAAACAGTTTAACCGGGTTTATCTCGTATAATCACAACACAAGTAACGGATAAGAGGCAGTGAAGGTATGATCCCTTGGTAACATGGGTTGAAAACGACGACTTCATGCTGCGTCTGATATATCATATTCCGTAGTAAGTTCATCTGGTCATTAAGATATCATCATCACTATCCTGAACCGAGTTCATCTACCGCCTGAGCCTGGCGAAGAACGACGTCTTATGAGATTTGGGCGGCGAAGGGGGCGTGGATCCGTCCATATGCTTCTCCCGCACCGGGAACCTCTTGTCATCCCGCGCTTGGCTATTCTTGGTGAAATTCCCAAACCTACCCTTCAGCGTCCATATCGAGTCCGCTTTCCTGAGCAGCGGGTTCTTGGCCGCCCTCGGCTTCTCGCAGCTCTCGTCGCTCTGCGTCCAGTCGACGCGGTGCTCGTTCGCCGCCGCCGGGTCCACGACCAGCGTCTCCTCCGACGCTAGCTCGTTGATTGGCGAGTCGGCAGCCACGGCCCGTAATGTTTCGTCCTCCGGGATATTGCCAAAGCTATTTTTCCGCCTCGATGGCTTGCGGGCGAGCCCGGAAACGCTCTGCCGATGATTATGAAGGTGGCGACCCTCTTCCGAGCTTCCGCGCTCGTCCGCCACCATGCGCGGGTGCTGGAACTGGTTCCTCTCGTGGAGCTTCTCCCGGTAACTCTGCGCCTTCTTCAAGGCGCGGTTCTGTTGCGCCGGGGTAGTGCTCGAGTCGAGCTCGATTTGATCGGAAATCCGTCCCTCTATGTGAAACTTGAGAGCTGACTGGGATAAGCTGTGCACGAGGTGCTTGTCGAGCATCCCGCTGGAAGTTGCCGTCCTGGCAAACTGCGAGGCAGCTTCTTGAGGGACGTAGTGGTATGTTGGAGCCCTTACGGTGCTCTCTGTAGTTGCTGGCTCCATTATAGAGGGCCTACGCCGTAGTTTATCGTGGATGGATTTTGACATAGACCGTCCTATTTTGGCTTCTGATGGTTGGGCTGCGGTTTCCTTTGATGGAAAACCTGTTCCTTGGTCTTTGCTTCTCGCCATCCTTGCTGCGAAGCTCGTCTCGGCACCTTCTGGCTTGGTAGTCGCAAGGTTGGGAGCGGCTGTGTCCACCTTCCCCGTCTCTGGCTGGTTTGTAGATGTTTCTAGTCCCTCATTCTGCCTTGATCTTGATGCTTCTTGTCTTTCTCTCCGCTGCTTCTCTTTTGACGCCTCCTGCTCCGCGATGACTACGTACAGCCGCTGGCGCAAGTCATCGGGGTCAAAAGGCTGTGATTTGCCGTAGCGATTTTGCTTCGTGTAGATCTGCTTGTGTGAGTCTGGCTTGGCAGCCACTTGCTTAGCCTGACCCGACGTATGATGGCCGTGTGTAGAACGGCCTATGGTGAACTGCATCTTGTCTCTTTCTCTATGCAGAGAGTTCTGAAGAAAAGGCGCCTCGAAGGATTCCTAGTTCCCGGGTATCAAAGTCGTATTTTTATTATAAGAAGAAGAAGAAGTAATATCTAAAGACCAGAGCCAGTAACTCGTAATGAATTAGGGGTCTAGAACGACGTAGAAATCTTCAGAGATGGCCGCTATTCTCATTAAGAGCCAAGTTCCACATCTGCATATATCATCCCATGTGGCGCGCGCGTGACCTATTCATAGATTCCAACTCGGCTCCTCAGGCGAGAACAAGGACAACAACGATGTCCGCTGTATCCGCTGTCAGTCCGAGGTATCCGCACAAACTATGAAAGAGCTTCGGGAGCGAAAGGCAAGAACCCTTTTGAGGACGAATATCAAGGTTCTCGACTGAAGGTAAAAATAAAACAGGTTACACTGGGTTCCGTGAGAAGAACATGGCCCAACTCGATCAAACCATATTAGGGAGGTCGTCTCTTATTAATGAAAATCCGGGGCAGAGTCCGTGGGGAGTGCGCCCGTCTCGGCCAAGGAATGAAGCCTCTTCCAACGTAACATGGGTAAACATGGGTACAAGGGCTCGTGAACGGTAGCGAACGGTAGTGATCCCGTCACTTGACTACCTAACCCAGGAATCGTCTGCCATGTATAGAGGCTTTCCTAGTTTCAAGAAGGGATACGCTAACCGATTTCTGGCGGCTGCGTGACCTCGACTCCCCTATGCCCTGATTTCTGCATGGTGAGATCTTGGTACATAGTAGGATTACAGGACCGAGGCAGGTATCTGGTGAGTAGTATTTACCCGGAGCTGGATCTGAGACGCATTGCAACGCTCTGTTGTGGACGTTGGAGGGAGCGGTCTGAATGGTACGCTCATGGTATAAACACATTTTACAAACGGATGCATGTGTGAACTTGGGTAGCAGTCCTTGGCTGCGTGGTAGGGTCACTGTATAGATGGGCTCGACCGCCTGGGCAAATGGGGGAACGTCTGGAGAAGCAGAGGGGAGCAATGGCGGCTGGATCCCTGCCCGTGGCCCCGGTCATACATAAAACCCTAGTCACTCACACATGTCGGCCCTTGACACTGCTGTCCACATATTGGTTGGTGCTGAAAAGCTTTGCATGCACGTTCTTCGTACCTAGTGGCTGTTTTTCCCCAAGGGGAAGAGGAAATTATTAGACCAGTTATCGAGACGGGAAGGGCGCCTCTTCATTCCAAATTCTGCGATCAGGACCGTCGTACAGCGTCGTGGTCGGCCTCCTCCCGCGATGACTTCGGTGCCTCTATCTGCACCTCCTGTTCTACAACGTCGTACGACGGGATGCGGCGCCGAAAAGGTTATGCCTCTTGCGGTATGTAAGGGGACCTAGAACATGGCTGGGTGCGTTCGATCGCTGCACCCACCGTACGATGGCTCAGTCATCGAGAGCTCATAGGCACGTCTAAAGCTTCCATCTCAAAATCAAATCATAGGTAGCCTGGAAATGTTCCAGTTCAGCGTCCAACCACACATAGATACCTAGGTACCTAGATGCTTGGCTGTAATCAATATATTTGACTACTGTCCACTGTCGAGTCTCGCCAACCGGCAGTTTGTGGAGGTTTGTGGAGGTACGTGGAATGATACCCAAAACGCTGCATGTTGGTATTGCATGAATCCTTTGCTAGATTAGCTGGCGACTTGGAGCCATGTAACTCTCTGACACGAATGCCAATCAGCTATCATAACCTTAGACTGTTGTTGTAAGGTTTGTTCGAGCACTTGCTCATTGGCGAGTATACATGCTTGTGAAGAGAGACAAGAGCTCAATGGTGAGCATTAGGAACAATACGTGGTAAGATCAGTCTGTAGTTGGTACATCCTATCAGCGGGCACGCGAGTTATTGGTTCGAGCTGTTGTATGTACTCAATCATATCTTGCCAGCCTTTCAAAGATGCCTCAACAGAGATGAATGTGGGATGATTAGAAAATGATAGTCATATCATGTTGTGTAGAAGTAAGGAAGGTGGAAAGACATTGATGCTAGCTAAGACGATGTAGGAACAAACCGGATAGGATAGCTTTGACACCGGCAACTAGGGGCGCCCTTGTCGTAGCGGTAGTTCCCGTCAGGCATGAACACCCTTCATCAATATGATGGGGTGGAAAGAATGAAGACGTAAACAAGTACGGTAGAAACAGACCGGGTTCTAGGCACCTCACCCTGGCGCGGTTCCTGGCGGAAGACGGCTTCTTGCAGCTTTGATACAGAGATAGCCGCAATAATCGCCTGGTGTGTCTTGGTATGGGCATCGCATCATAGGTATTCGAGCTGCCAGAGAACAAAGATGCCAAAGACATGCATCTGCACGCTTTGATCATATATCAATACGAGAAGGGGCAAAGCAGCGAGGGTGTATTCTAGCCGGCGCTCTGCAACTCTGCAAGGCGCGTACAAAGTTAAGCAGCCTTGGAGTGTAACTAAGAACGTTACAGTATCTCCGACGGGTTGAGGATATCGACGGTACTACCGTAAAATGACAAATCCCGGAGAACGGAGAATTTGCGAATACCTACAGGTCCCAACACGATGATCAATAATTCGTGATCGACGGGCCGAGTGTGGATTTTTGGGGAGTTCGGATGAAACCAAAGTATAATAAGATTGTCAATGAATAATGAATGGCTACTTGAGGCGCATAAAGTTTGAAACAATTGTAGGAAGAGAGACAAGGAGGACAATATTCGTCCATTCATGGACAATAGTCGAAATACCATCAACAGTAAAAGTGAAGAAAAAGCACAAGTTGGCGAAGGCATTCAGATGTATGGAAACCGACAAAAGTGGAAAAAAAAGATGCTCTCGATCGGGGAATCGAACCCCGGCCACCTGCGTGACAAGCAGGTATCCTGACCACTAGACCAATCGAGAAGAACCATTCTATTGAATGGGATTGGATTCCACGCGAGTCGTGCTGATGGTGAGGAACTCCAAGAACGCTGTATATATAGCAATAGTAGCTCAGGGCTTTGTCTAGCGAGCCAATCACAGGTTAGGTGGCTCGGTTGTAGACGAGGGCCCAGTTCCTCGGAGTGGGGTAGAGATCTTGCTTCTCCACATGCACGCGATCTGCCCCTCACCACCGATAAGATACGATATTACACAGCTGGAGTTAGGTAATGATGCTTCCTCTCTGTAGATAGAAGCTAAGCCATTGGAGCTACGGGTAAGTAAGAAGTGAAAAAAATTGGCGTAAGCCAAACTGCAACAAAGAATCCCATTTACGAAGAAAAAAAAAAGAGTTGTCTGATATCTTCGTTCCTCTATAACGAAATCTCAACTCCACGTCTGGAGCTCTCATATATAGTTCGACTCGAAATTTCTCCGCTGTACCACTTCAACCCCGCAATGGCTGCCGCACACCTACACTCCCATGATGGCGGCATGACGAACCACACCCACGATGGCTTCTCGGTGGCCGAGCACGGGCACTCGCACGAGATCCTCGACGGCCCCGG